ACCACAGCCCTGGGCCCATGTAAAACCCATGAGAGACCCAAGGAAAGGTTTCCATGGGACACTCGGTGAGGCTCTGGGTTCAGGTGCTCATCACGGAAGAGTTTCCAGAAGCCCTGGAGGCAAGGCTGGGGAGAGCAGGGGAAAGTATTCCCTTCAAGGACATTCTTTAGAGGAGTAGCATTTTTCACAGGGCAATTATTAAACCATCAGTAGGGATGAAAAAAGATTAGAGGAAGCCCTGGGAAAGCAGGACCTAAAAGCACAAGGAGAGGGGTAGCTGAAGAAAGGTTTTTTTTCTTCACCCCACTCCCACCGCTGATACACATTACAAGTCCTTCCCAAACTCTGTAGGACCCTCAGAGGATCTGGTTCCAGCCCCATCTTCCTGTACTGCCAAACTCTGGAGGTTGGGGGTGGGGGTCTATTTTACTAGAGAAGGAGACAGTTTCTTCTTCTTGTGATAGTTTGGCAACATCAAGCACAAACCCTTTTCTGCACCTCCTCCCTCTAAGTGGACTGCCAGATTTAAGAAACAAACAAAGACAAACCACATACCTGGTTAAATTTGAATTTCAGAAAAATGAATCACTTTTTGGCATAAATATACCCCAAATATTACATGGGGCATGTTTGGGGTTATTTCCACATTGCTTTTTTTCTGAGAGAATGGAAAGGAGGGAGGGAGGAAAGGAGGTTGGGAGGGAGGGAGGGAAGGAGGGTGGGAGGGAGAGAAAAACATCAATGTGAGAGAGACTCATTGACTGGTTGCCTCCCACACGGGCCTGACTGGGAGTGGGAGCAAATTGGTAACCCAGGTATGTGTTTAACTTGATGGCCCTTATTTTATCTAAAAAAAAAACAAAAAAAAAAACAAAAACAAAAAAACTACCTCTAAGGGTGTGGCCAAGACCCTATAGGGAAATTCCTCTGAAGCTTTCACTGCACCTCAGCTCTGGGCAGCTGACGCAGCAGCTTTTGTTCCCATTCAGAGAACTCCAATGAGGAGCAAATGTTATCAATAGCCATCCCCTATGCCAGGCAGCCTGGATATTGAGTCAATGCTAAGTCAGAAGTGGGGAGCAGGAGTAAGGGGGGCAGAGCAGGGCTCACCCTGGAAGGCTGCCATTCTTTCCAAAGAGAATTTAAGAAATGGGGCTCAGTCCCCAATGGGGGGCATGTAGGAAGCAGCTGGTTGATGATTCTCTCATCATTTAAGTTTTTAACCCTCTTTCCCTCTCCTTTCCTATCTGAAATCAATAAAAACATATTTTAAAGAAAGAAAAGAAATGGGTCCTGTCAGCATTGCTCAGTGGTTAAGCATTGACCCATGCATCAAGAGGTCTCAGGGTTTCATTCCTTGTCAGGACACATGCCTGGGTTTCAGGCTTGATCCCCAGCAGTTTGGGGGCAAGGAGCGTGCAGAAGGCAGTCAATTGATATATGTGTGTGTGTGTGTGTGTGTGTGTGTGTGTGTGTGTGTGTGTGTATGTGTGTGTGTGTGTGTGTGTAATATATATCCCTTTGCACTCCGAACCATTCTGGACATTGGCTACCAGCTACTCGACGCTACTTTGCAGCGGAAATGTGCGTTGAAATAACTCAATTCCCCGTAATCACTAATAAACTGCAATGTCCCCTGAGAGGGGACATCCGAGTGATATGCTAGAATTCCGATGTCCTCTGAGAGGGAACAGCGGAGTTCAAAGGAATATATATATATATATATATATATATATATATATATATGTGTGTGTGTGTGTGTGTGTGTGTGTGTGTGTGTGTATACACACACACACATATATACACACACACACATATATTGACTGCCTCCTCATATATATATATATACACACACACACACACACACACACACATATATATATATATATGTCAAGTGACTGCCTCCTCTTCTTTCTTTAAAGTCGATGGAGGAGATTAGGGGGTTAGAAAGACAAAAGATGGGTGAAGGTGGTATACTCAGTAACTGACACCAAAATTCAGACCTCCCATTCTTTATGCGCAATTCTGAACTCAGCGGACCAGCATTCAAGGTTCTTTCTCTAAGGCATGTCCACCCATGTCCTGCAAATGTGTTTGTGAAATGCTATTATCTGCTAGAATCCCAGCCATGTGCTGAATTTATAGGGGTTTGTTTTTTAGATGATGAAGATGATGATGATGATGATGATGATTTGGAGCAAAGAAAGTGGGAGAAGAAAGCAGAGATTCTCGGGTGAACTGCCTTTACATGACCTGCAAACCTTAAAGAGACACACACTAAGGCTGAGACGCCATCATCTCCAAATCCCACAGATGGCTGGCCAATAGGTTGGTCCTGCTTCCCAAACCCTCAAACTCTAGATCTAACCCTAGAAGAAAGCAACCCCATGTTAACTGGTCTGGAGAATTAAATCTGAGGAGGAATACACTCCCCTGGTTAGACCCAAGACCACCTGGGCAAGTGGGCTAACAAAGGAGCCCAGCTCTGTCTCCAAGAGGCTGTGTTCTGCATGAGGAGGCAGGACGCCATTGGTTAGAAAGACGGGCTCAGGCCCCAGACAGACATAAGTGTATATCCAAGCTCTATTGCTCTCTAGCTGTCCAATGGTGGGCAAGGAACTAAACCAGAGTCTCGGTTTCCTCGGGTATAAAATGAAATAGAGTTAAGGACCTATGTCATGGGTTTGTTTCAAAGATTAAAAGATAATGCATGCAAAGCCCTTCACATGGTGCCTAAAAAACAGTAATGGGCTCAATAGGCTTTTTTTCAAGTCTGTGTATAAACCTAAGAATCATTTCCTTGTTGGCAAAGAGCCTTGTCTCCACGGCCAATTCTCTACCATGGAAATTAGGCTTGTGGTTCTCTGAGATGGGTACAGACATCCAGGTACCCCCAGGCTTTTGAGGAAAATGTTAATAAATTCTACCCACATACAGTAGAGTCCAATGCTTCGGAGACTCAGAAGTGAATTGTTTTGCCCATCAACCCACACAAGCAAGTTTATTACTGTGGATAAATGCAGAGATATCCTAAGACCTGAGAAGCTTGGAGAGAATGAGGCCTTGAGACCCAAGACCTTGAAGACTAATCAGTTACCAAGGACTATTCCAGATGAGAGGTTACTGAACTACATTTATGCCAGAAACACTTAGGTGTGCCTCTCTGGCCATGAACGATGCCATCTCTTATCAATGCTTTAGTAGATAAACACTTTGAGATAAATGGCATTGATAAGCCTAACATGAAACCATGGCACGATTTTAGGAAGGACCATAGGCAATTACTAGTATGTAATAAGCATCAAGCAGGCAGGAGCTGGAGCTAGGCAAACCTGTATCTGAGTCCTGGCACTTAAAAGCTGTGTGATCTCAAGCTAGTTACCTAATTCCTCTGCATTTCAGTTTCCTCATACGTTAATTGGGGATGGTTATAGTATTTACCTAACATGGGTGTGGGGGAAGTTAAATAAAAGCATATATGAAAAGTCTTGGCACATAGTAAATGCTATTGTTGTTATAAAACCCATGGCTTATGAACCTATAGACAATAAAAGGTTATAGTTAACTGAGGTTTCACCAAGAATAAATCATGTTAAACCAATCTCATTTTTAAAATACCCATAGAGTTATTGAGCATGTTATACATTTGTTGACTCTTGATTTTAAACTAGCTAGTTGATTAAGTGATCAAATGTAAGACGAAGAGCAGTGCAATTGGGTAGATCCATTTAATAGAATGCCACGAGGCTCTGTTCTTACCCTTGTCTGATCTAACATTCTTATTAAAGGTTGGGGGGAAAGGTGCAGAAAACATCATGCTGGAGAGGCAAGCCAATAACATAAAGATTAAAATTTACCTTAATGAAGGCAACAAAATGAAAGACGCCCTAGCTGGTTTGGCTCAGAGGACAGAGCATTGGTCTGCAGACTGAAAGGGTCTCTCTCATCATTGATGTTTCTCTCTCTCCCTCTCCCTTCCTTATATATATATATATATATATATATATATATATATATATATATATAAAATATATATATATGTGTGTGTGTGTGTGTGTGTGTGTGTGCACGCTAATAAAAGAGGAATATGCAAATTACTATCCCTTTGTGACACCCACCAGCCAATCAGGAGTGAGTATGCAAATTTACCCAACAAAGATGGCAGCAGTTTCGCCCCCAGCCACTCCAGGTCTCTGGGCAGCATGCATGCGGCCAGGCAGGGAGGGACAGCTGCTATGAGGGGAAAGGCAGGGGGCAGAGGGAGCTACAGGAGTGGCGCTCCTGCTGGAGTAAAGATTAAAGGCTCTGGCTAGAGCAAAGATGGAAGGCAGCAGCCAGAATGAAGGCCTGGGACCCAGGTGCTGGAGGAAAATCGGTGTCAGCAGCCAGGGAAAGGAAGGCCTATTGCACAAATCTTCATGCAACAGGCTTCTAGTTTATAAATAAAATAAAAGAGGATATTTCTTACATTCAAATAAATACTCAGTAGGAGTCAATGTTATAAGATGAAGGAAGATGGGTGGAGGAGTGATTCATATAGCAAAACTCATTTATGCATTTATTTATTAAGAGTCATTCATTTACTCAATAACTATAGGAGTATCCACTCCAGGCCAGCCACTACTGGTGATGAAAAGACATAAATCTCTGCTTTCAATGAGATTCTTGTCTAGTGAGAAAGACAGACCTGGAAATGGAAGAGCACAGCAAGAGGAAAGATCACCTGATCCTGCTTTACAGCAGTGATACTGAAGTAAGACTTGGAGGATCACCAGGCATATGCCAGATAATCTGATATGGGAAAAGAATAGTTTTCTAAGTGGATTTTGCAGAACCTGCAAAGGCCCTGAGACACAGCTGACTGTTCCGGTTGACCCTCGACAATTACTTTACATGCGCATTTGGGATCAGGAAAAAGTAAGATATAATACATAGACACATCAAGCCTCTTGCCTCACATTCCCAGTTCAAGTACACTTCTGGACACATCTGCATCTTACCATAGGTGAGGACAAGCAGCTTGAAGTTGAGGTTTTTGAAGAGTCGGATGATGGGGTTTAAGTACGAAGTATCCGGTACTAAGGAATAGCTCAGGGATTGGGCCCTGCTGGGGGGATGTTTAGGCTTCTCCTTGAATACTGAAAGGAAAGAAACAGAGAGATCACTGAACATCCCTGTAGTTACAGCCCAGCAGAATTACACATGGACAAGAGCTGACTCCCATCACCCAAAAAGAGCTGGGACTCAAAAAGAAATATTAATTCTTCAATTAAATCCTTTATAGCTTCCTCTCTTGAAGCTGCTTTTCATTGTCTTTGGCTGAGTGTGTAGTCTACTGACTACTTTTTTTTACATTGATTACTTTTTCTTCATGGCCTCTGGATGACTGCAATAATTGGGGCAGTGCTCAAGGATCAAGAAGTCCCATAATGTTAGGGACAGAAATATAATATTGGGTACTAGCTATTAGTTATAAGAATGATTTTTTGTTCTGATTAAAGAAAGCACATTCTGGAATAGAATGAACAACATAAACGGATGAACAAAAATAGATCCAGAGACAGAAGCATCAAACAGACCATCAAACCTCAGAGGGAAGGCAAGGATGGGGAGAAGGCGAGGTGTAAGAGATCACCAAAGAAATTGTATGCATGCATATAAGGAGAACGAATGGACACAGATAGTAGAGAGGTAAGGGCATGTGCTAGGGGGTGGGAGCAGCTGGGGAGAGGTCAATAGGGGGAAAAGGAGACATATGTAACACTTTAAACAATAAATAATTTAAATTAATAAGAAAGGAAGGAAGGAGGAAGGAAGGAAGGAAGGAAGGAAGGAAGGAAGGAAGGAAGGAAGGAAGGAAGGAAAGAAGGAAGGAAGGAAAGAAGGAAGGAAGGAAGGAAAGAAGGAAGGAAGGAAGGAAGGAAAGAAGGAAGAAAGAAGGCTCATTCTAACCTCATTGGGAGTTGTAAACCCTAGGACTTGAGAGCTAACATTGGAATGCAGTCCATCCTCCTTTCCTGAGAACTGCCCATCATTATGAAAATATTTATAGCCTCGTGGCTGAAGCAATCTAATCCTGGAGGCACCTGCTCTTTACAACCTCCAGCCCCTATTACTGGAACCTGTAATCTGTAATCTGGTCCCGGGGTGCCCCAAGGCACCTGACCTTTGAGACCCCTCCCTCACCCCCCCCCCCCCGCCACTTCCCCACAGCCTGCATAACTTATAACTTGCAATGATTATACCATGCCTATTTCCCCATGCCTGTAATCCTACTTCCCCTTGTAATCTTTGTCTTTCTACCCAGTATAACTTATGGGGAAAGGCAGAGCAGATTTTTGTAGATAACCTGCTGTTCTCCCATACCACCAGCATTACTGGAATAAACGCTCACATATGATTCAAGGTTGTACAGTTACAATAACAGCCATAAAAAAAAGCACTGATGAGCACTATAAACCACACAATAGACACACATGGATAGAAAGGACATGAGAGCTGAGGCTTTAGGATTAGTGGGCCCAGCTCATGGCCTAGCACCCAAGTTCCTACTGAGAGGGAAGAGATTGTGTTGCCTGTGCTTAGCACCTAGTCTGGCACAGGGCGGTCAGTACATATCCCTACCTAAAAGGATCTCCTATTAAAAAAAACCTGGAGTCCAATTCCTAGTTTTTCAAAGTCTGAATCAGACATCTTCCTCACAGAGCCTAGAGCAAACATGTCAAACTAGGCTCATGGCCACATGAGACCCACAATTAATATTTTTTTGGTCCAGCCAATATAGTGGTATGTAAGAGGTGTTTTAATACAAATTTTGTAACTTAATTTTTACAATATTCTGTTATACATCCTATATAATAAAAGGCTAATATGCAGATTGACCAATGGAGGAATAGCTGGTTGCTATGATGTGCACTGACCACCAGGGGGCAGATGCTCAATGCAGAAACTGTCCCCTGGTGGTCACTGCACTCCCACAGGGGGAGAGCTGTTCAGCTAGAAGCCCTGAGCCAGGCTCATGGCTGGCAAGTGCAATGGCGGTGGCGAGAGCCTTTCCTGCCTCTGCAGCAGTGCTAGGGATGCCTGACTGCTCTGGGAAGTGGGCCTAAGCCATCAGTCGGACATCCCCTGAGGTTCCTGGACTATAAGAGGGTGCAGGCCAGGCTGAGGGGCCCTTCCCCCTGAGTGCACAAATTTCGTGCAACTGGCCTCTAGTATTATTAATAATGAACTACAGCGTTCACTGATGACTGATTACTATAATCGTGTTGCATTCATTTCCCTTAAACACCTTACATGCAGGCGCAGCATTTCTCTCCACTAATACTAGCAGCGAATATTTTAGCAGCTGACTACCACATCATTAGTCTTGAACTGACTTGTTTGGTGTGTGCGCAACAACAAATATTTCACTCTCAGTGAACAAGAAAAATAGGTTTACTTTGCATTACGCTTATTAATTTGTACAGTTATTCAGTGTCTGATAAGTTAATGTTCAAGAAAAAAATATTAATATTTATTAAAATGTTCTATTATTTTGTGTTAGCGATTCATTTACTTTCAGCCCTTTGTGTTTGGCATGCCTCTACTAAAATAAACCTATGTTTCTATGAAAATTGAAGCTTTTGGGGTTTTTTTGTGGCTCACATAAACTTAAACCTTGTTTATTTAGCCAGTGTTAGCCTTTGAGTTTGACATGCTTGGCCTGGGGCAGTGGTTGGCAAACTCATTAGTCAACAGAGCCAAATATCAACAGTACAATGATTGAAATTTCTTTTGAGAGCCAAAATTTTTCAACTTAAACTTCTTCTATCGCCATTTCTTCAAAATAGACTCGCCCACGCCGTGGTATTTTGTGGAAGAGCCACACTCAAGGGGCCAAAGAGCGCCGCATGTGGCTCGAGAACCGCAGTTTGCTGACCACCACGGGGCTTAGAGGATTAACACAGCCTCCCATGGGAGTGGCTACTCTGACTTGAAGGACTTTTATATTCTCTTTTCAGTACAACTGGTACAATCAATTTTGCATTGGCTGCTATTCAGTTCTCTGGAGGGCAGGTCAGTTTAACCAGTTTTCTTGGCTGAACTGGTTCCCCATTGGGCCCAAGCAGGTACCATGTGGCCCCCCCTCACTCATTCCTATTCCAGTTAAAGGAAGCTCTGGAAATGCAGTTCAATGTCTTGAAGAGCAAAGTCTCTCCCTCCCCCTCCAGCCCTGACTACATAGCCCTGCTTCTTTCCTTTTTCTTTCAAATGTTTTTATTTTTTAGTCTTTATTATTGAGAGTATTACAGATGCTCCCCACTTGTCCCCCTATTGTACCCCTCCACCCAGCTCCTCACCACCCTATTCCTTCACCCCACTCTCTGTGTCCATGGGCAAGGCACACATGCATGTTAGTTCTTCGGTTAATCTCTTCCCTGTCCCTGCCCTTCCCCCTGAGATATGTCAGTTCCATGTCCCCGTGCGTCAGGTTCTATTCCATTTATCAGTTTATTTTGTCATTAGGTTCCACATCTAAGTGAGATCATGTGATATTTGTCTTTCTCTGACTGGCTTATTTCATTTAGCATATCTCCAGAGCCCTGCTTCTTTCTTCTCTGGAAGAAGTCTGGGTAATTTCCTCCTGGATGACTTCCTTGCTGTTGGGAACCTCTCCTTCACTGTCTTGGCTGTTCGCCTCCCCTTCCATCGGGGTAAAGAAAGCAAGGCAAAGGGCTGATCCCTGCCACAGCAGGTGCTTGCTCCAGATAAGATCTTTCAGTCTGTGCTTGATAATAAAATGCCAGAATGTAGAAACGCTCTACCTCCAGGATTTCAGCTCCAAAGAGCCAGGCCCTCACCTGCCACAAACACAAGAATTTGGAGCTGGGAACATTCCAATTTGAAACTTAAAGTCTGGCCGAGTAAGAGGATCCCTGGCTAGATTGTTCTTTCCTGCTCTCATTCACAGCTAGGCAGCTTCTACCTTCCTGGGAACATCATGTCCTCTGTCCGAGACATCCTGTCGGCTCTTAGAGGCCTGCAGGCAGCCCTTTCTCAGCGTGGACCCAGGGAGGGAATGACAAGGTGAGAACAGCTGAATGAAGTAAATGATTATAAACTTGACTCTAGAGGTGAGGCCAGAAGGAAGGAATGAAACCTTTAACATGAGTGAGTGAAACTTTCAGATATTAGGAGGAAAACCGGTTAACCTTTAGACGGGTGACTATCTGAAAATGAAAACCTTTACTCTGCTGTTTCTGAATTTATCACAGCCCATATACTATCACTCAGATTATAAAAGAGGATATAAAATTATATTATCCATCAGTTGTATGGTGAGGAATGGTTTCTAAACTTGTGCTGAGGATCACTTTAAAGTGTATATACATGTCAAATTAGAATACTGTACTCATGAAACATATAATAAAAGAATTTTCAAATTATATTATCCAAATACCTCAGTGATTAAATATACCTTTATATAAAAATGAATAATAGCTATCTGAGGTTGATATTAACTTGTCCAAGGCTAACTTAATGGTCATTCTTTTTTGTATTTTCTAGATTTTTTTCATAATGAGCAGATCATTACTCTTGTAATCTTTTTTAAAGAAAAGCATTAAAATTGTGGTACCTAGGTATTCTTGGGTGAATTTATGAGATTAGTGTTTGTGATTTGTTCTGTTTTGTTCAGTTCCAGAAATTTAGAGTATGGCCTTACACAAATTTAGGCTTTAATCTGATCTCTGCAACTTAAGGACTATCAAATCTTGAATAATTTATTTAAGTCCCCTAAGTCTTCCTCTTTGTTAAATGGGACTGAGAATGGTACCTTCACTCCTAGGGTTGCTGAGGCTTACATGAGATCGAGCATGAACAGCACAATGCCTGTGCTGTCATAAGTGCTCATAGGGCTCCACCAAGGGGATCAGCAGCCTGACCATTAATTCCTGTGAGGTCATACGGGGGAACCGTGTAATTACAATCAAACCTTTACTGAGCCACTCGCAAAGTGCACAAGACCAGCTAGCACCCTATTGGGGGCAACTGTGTAGGCTAGAGCACTTGAAGACTATTAGAAGCCTGACCTTCAGATTCGGTAAGTGTCCACCATATTCCAGAGCCATGTGCACAAGGGCCCCACCAAAGCCATAGAACCTCCCTGCGCCCCCGCCCCCAGCAGTCTGATGAACTTACCGATGATGACAAGGATGAAAAGCAGGGTGGCAATACCTGCTATTAAGTAGAACATGATGCCGATGTCGTAGGCAAGCTTGTCCTTGTCGTTGCTATTGGGTACCAACACAGGCGGGACCAAGAACCCAATCGCAATTCCAAGCTAAAGAAGACAGAGAGGGTCAATTTTAGTTACCAAGGTCCAAGAGGTGATGGCACAAATTAAAAAGATTCCTAAAAAGAAACACAATCCCAGCCCAGCCAGTGTGGCTCAGTGATTGAGCATTGACCTATGAACCAGGAGGTCATGGTTGGATTCCAGGTCAGGGCACAGGCCTGGATTGCTGGCTCAATCCCCAGTGTATGTATGCAGGAGGCAACCAATCAATGATTCTCTCTCCTCATTGATGTTTCTCTCTCTCTCTTCCTCTCTGAAATCAATAAAAATATATATTTTTTTAAAGAAAGGAAAAGAAACACAATCAAATTAAACAGGGACATTTCCTCTTCACGATATCAGAGAGAGCTTTCTTTTTATTGACAACTCAATGCACACACACCCCTGACCGCCCTCACCATCAATGCCTATTGAAAAAAATTATTGCTGGGACCCTGGTTGGCATGGCTCAGTTGTTTGGGTGTCACTCTGTGCACCAAAAGGTAGCTGATTCAATTCCCTTGCAATCCGTGGTAGAGATGTGCAACAGGCATTCGATCAATGTTTCCCTCTCACACCAATGTATCTCTCTCTCTCTCTCTCTCTTTCTCTCTCTCTTTCTCTAAAAAATCAATTAAAATATTAAAAATAAAAATCATAGTTGGGGTTCTCAATGCAGGATGGTTCTCCTGAAGCTGCACACTAACGAACAATGGTTCCTATACTCCAGTCTCTATGGTACAGTAAAACAATGTTGACTTTTTTGTGTGTCATTTAAATTCTTGGTTTCAATCAGGAGCTCAGAGACCAGCTTGGGGAAAGGTGAAAATTTCTATACCCTATAACTCCAAGAACTCGAATTCAGTAAGACTCAGAAGCCTAACATTATTACCACGTTTACAAACATGAAAACTTAAGTTCATTGTGTAAATAATTTAGCAATTGACAAGGCACCTGTAGTATAAAGTCATAGGCAATTGCATACACACAGGATATGGGCAAACTGGCCATAAACACACAAGCTATAGAAGACAGAGAGAGTCAATTTTAGTTACTAATGTCCAAGAGATGATGGCACAAATTTAGACACACACACGCGCGCACACACGCACACACACACACACACACCAACTAGTTAAAGCAGCAGTCACCAACTTGTGGTCCATGGACCGCTGGTGGTCTATGAAGTCCAAAAGGTTGGCAACTACTAGTTTTAGGAAACCTTTGGAGCAGTGGTCACCAACCGGTGTTCCGTGAACCACTGGTGATCTGTGAGGTCTGAAAGGTTGGAGTTAAAGAATCTCATATTTGCCTTAGAGTTCAAACTCTATTTAACCTGACAGACAATGGGACTTGGATATGTTTCCAAGGTCAGAAATGCCTTGATTCCGGAGTAACTAGCTGTGACTCAACTCCCAAAGCCCTTCTGCCATGTGTCATACCAAAGCAGAAAATTAAAAACAGCCCAAGAATGCGGGCAAGCTTCAAGTTCCAAGACTGGAGGAAGATAAGTCCATTGTCTTAAGGTTCCATTTTTTCTTTATTTTATTTGAAACTGTAGGTAGGGAATCAATTTGCTTTTATTCCACACTATAATGCCATTCATCAGTTGCCAATCTGCTGACCATCTTGATTGGTTTTCCAGCCTGTTCATTACAGCCACTCAGGATGGTCAGTAGGGGTTCTCAGCTCTGGAACATTCAAAGTCATCATCTACAGGTCCAGTATAAAGTTCTTCCACTGTATGCCAACCTATAATCTTTAAAGCACCTACTATGTGAAAAGCTTTCTGATAGATATTTTGGGAGGTACCCAGATGTATGTAGAGGGCATGGGGGTGTGAAATAAAGATTAAAAGATAACACAAATAGGGATATTTGTGTGTTGAAATTATAGAATGTTATTGTTTAGAAGTTCCTTTGTCATCATTACTATAGCAATTTTCAACCAGTGTGCTGCAAGAATTTTTAAAACAGGCAATACCTGACTATTTTGTCAGGGGTACTGACCTCTTTTCCCTTAGACTGTCACATAAAAAAATGACAATAGACAACACAACAATAAATGTTTGTTGTGAATGCCCTATCTTGAATCATAAATATATAAGTCATATAACAGTGTAGCATATTATTGGTCATATCTATAACAAGGTTGGGTCTGATTGATTAATTCTTATTACAAAAAATCTTTATATACAAGTAGAGTATAGATATTTGATTTTTTTTAAGTCACTTTGGAGCAAAAAGGGTAGGTAATTTCTATTATTATTTTTTTAAATATATTTTGTTGATATTTTACAGAGAGGAAGAGAGAGAGCTAGAAACGTCAATGAGAGAGAAACATCGACCAGCTGCCTCTTGCACACCCCCTACCAGGGAAGTGCCCGCAACCAATGTACATGCCCTTGACTGGAATCGAACCTGGGACCTTTCAGTCCGCAGACTGATGCTCTACCACTGAACCAAACCGGTTTCGGTTATTATTATTATTTTTTTTAAGTCAATCAAAATTATACTGATTTTTGGTCATAGTGGCAAAAAATATTTTTGGTATGCTGCAGAATTTAAGTAATTAGTTTATGTGTGCTGTCAGATGAAAAAGATTGAAAATCACTGCTCTACTGCAACCTAATTATTAGAGGGCCAAATGGAGGCTAAGTGAGGTTAAGCTCAAGAGGTTAAGTGACTTATATAGGGTCACACAGAGTTCTAGCAGGTCTCACCTTCTCAGCCAGCATCTCCTCCCCTGGGCCTGGCAGCGACCTCCTGGGCTGAGAGCCATGAGAAAGGCCCAGATGAGCAGGCTTCTCCGGAACAGAAGCTATTTCAGTCTTTAGAGTTTTATCTAATCTTAGGTTACTCTGATTTGTCAGATTACAGTCTGGCTTTTTCACTGTAATCTGTAAGATTTAGAGTAAAAACCAGCCTAGACAGAGGTAAATGCAACCTTCATGCTGGGAACCTGGGCCTGCTGCAGGTCATATATGGCCTTCTCAGTGCTTTGGAGGTGGAGATCTAGAAGTTACGTAGAATACGGAGGGTCCCTTTTGCAAGAATGAGGGAAGTTATGGGCCATCATCTAAGGCTCTGTGATTCTTTTACTCCCCAAAGGACCCTGATATAGAACAACCTAATCTTCAATAATCTTCTGCCTCGAGAAGTAAGGATGGAGAGGCATACTGGGAGACTCGCGGGGAGGGGGAGTTGTATTTTGTTTTATTTATTGATTTATTCAGGTGACATTGGTTAATAAAACTATATAGGTTTTGCCGAGACCGGTTTGGCTCAATGGATAGAGTGTCAGCTTGGGGACTGAAGGGTCCCGGGTTCGATTCCGGTCAAGGGCATGTACCTCGGTTGCGGGCACATCCCCAGTAGGGGGTGTGCAAGAGGCAGCTGATCGATGACTCTCTCTCATCGATGTTTCTGACTCTCTATCTCTCTCCCTTCCTCTCTGTACAAAATCAATAAAATAAAATAAAAACAACTATATAGGTTTTATTATATAATACATGGTCTGCATATTGTATTGTGTGTTCACCACCCAAAGTCAAGTGTCCTTCCATTACCATTCATCCCTTCTTCCCTTCCCTCCACCCTCTTGTCCTCTGTGTCTGTGTCTATGAGGTTTTTATTTTTTCTTAGTTCCTTCATCTTTTTCACCCAGACCCCAACCTCCCTCCTCTCTGATAGCTATCAGTTTTCTGTATCTATGAGTCTGGTTCTATTTTGCTTGTTTGTTTATTTTGTTCATTAGATTCCACATATAAATGAAATCATATGGTATTTGTCTTTCTCTGATTGGCTTATTTCACTTAGCATAATACTCTTCAGGTCCATCCATGCAGTCACAAATGATAAGATTTCCTTCTTTTTTTACAGCCGGGTAGTATTCCATTGTGTGAATGTACCATAGCTTTTTTATCCACTCATCTACTGATGGATGGGCATTTGGGCTGCTTCCAAACCTGGGCTATTGTAAATAAAGTTGCAATGAACATGGGGGTAAATATATTCTTTTAAATTAGTGTTTTGATTTCTTTGGATATATTCCCAGAGGTGGAACTGCTGGGTCCTAAGGCAGTTCCGTTTGTAATTATTTCAGTAAACTCCATACTGTGTGCCACAGTGGCTGCACCAATCTGCACTCCCACCAGCAGTGCACTCCCACCAGCAGTGCACAAGAGTTCCTTTTTTTCTCCTCATCCTCTCCAATACTTATTGTTTGTTGATTTATGGACGATAGCCATTCTCACAAGTGTAAGGTGAAATCTCTTATATAACTCGACAACAAAATAACATCCAATCCAATTAAAAAGTTGACAAGAGGACACACAGGTGTCCACTAGACATGTGAAAAGATGTTCAACATCACTAATCATCCGAGTAAAGCAAGTTGAAACCACAATGGGAGACTCAGTTTTCATTTTCTGTTTTATTTTTGCCTTTTCTGCAAACTCAAGGGTGATAGCTGAACACTGTCACTGGTCATGAGCACTTCCAAAACCAATGTCAGCATTAAAAACACGTTTGGAGGGCTTTGGCTAGTAGGAAGAAGCCATCGCTTGTCTTTCTGGCTCATGCATTTGGCAGAGCCAAAATAAACCCAGAAAACCTCTGGGCTGCATCCGGGGTAAGAGTCCCATACTTATCCCACTACAACACAAACACACCACGTGTCCTATCGACTCTAAGAGCCCTAGAACCATTCTCCCCATCACCAGGGGCAACTCAATAAAACCCCCAGTCATGACTGAATCTGAACCCTGGCACAAAGCTGCCCTCCAAAGTGCTGCCAGACCATCATAATAGGATCCTGGGGCTTCCACAAAAAGCAGGGAGCTCTGTGTTAACACCAAGGTGAAGGCTTCAGTCCTAATGGAACAGGGACAGAAACATTGGTCTCCTCTGAGCCCTTTGCTAGGATCCCAGGCCATCAGCAAGGTGGATGCGACTCTTCTTGGTTGGAAGCAACCACCTTCTCACCCACCCAACCTCATTCCTTCT